GACAGCGAAGCGTCGGTATCCTGTGCCGGCATGCTGCTGCCGCTTTTTTCCTTCGCAGAAGCATCGACTTATTGGGTTAGCCGAGCATAAAATCTGTCCCAATTAAACGGTCCAGAAGTCCAGTTCCAGACCCAATTAACCGAACGGAAAGTTGTGTTATATGTTTAACGTCATGAGATCTATTACGCATTACACCAAAGGTCTAGGAAGTGTTACTGATGGAGGTAAGTCTTAGAAAAAAGCCATTTGGAAGAGTCATTCGACTTTTCTATATGGTTTTGGCAGCTGAGTTCTCTGATAAGTTCCAAATATTACTGAGCCAGGAAATTTTACCCTCACTGGACGGGCAATTATGTACCCAATTCTTGATACTATCGTCATGGTATACCGCCCCAAGAATGATCACGAAAATAATGCAAACCTCAGGGTTATAGATGTTAGTCGACTCATCTGCCACAAAACGTGAACGGGGGTTACTTCCTAGCAGAAATATCTGAGAATGGCCTAGCTCAGCTAACGCAGGCATTCCAGGTGTAAGCTCAATCGCTGAAGATACCAAGCTAGGTGCAAATTTTGTGGCTGTACCATTCAGTACACCAGACTAGATTTGATGCGTCTTTCGAATCGCCTAACGTATCCGGCATCGGAATTTTAACCTTTGGAGCATGGATCATATTTTCTGTAGGAGAAGGGACTGGTCTGTTAAGTTAATGATATAGCAACAGTTAACAAATTAGAACTCTGATTAACTGTTCACTGCGGCAAACATTCTTATCAATTTCATCTGAATTCTTTTTTGATTGAGTAAACAGCAACCTGTTGGAATAGATGCATCGTTTTTATTGCAATGCACGTAGTATCGTCTTAACGTGAATCAACCTGACCACTTTTCACCGAGCTATGTTTCCCTAAAGCATGGTAAACGGGTAACCAACAAACAAACGTAAATCAGTCATTCCGCTGGGGTTAACTGGAGGAGGCTATCAAAGCAGGAGCAGCGTTGTTTGCACAATGTCGAGAATCCGTCGTTTGCAAATGACGAGGACGTTATTTACCGTTTCGAAGAAAACATAAACTTTTTAGCCTTCCGTCTTGCAGCATAACCGAATTGGCCATCCAAACGAGATTAGTCTATTTTCAGTCGACCGTGGAATGAAGTCAGGCGGTCAATCGATGGCAAACTGAGTATCTGACATACTCTCTGCTTCATCCGCCTAGGGCGTCAGGTGCCATTGCGCTAGGGTTCGTTCAATTGAGCAATTCAAACGACGTTTAACTAAAGTGACTAAGCTAATACTCAGTTGACCAGTTCAGATGTATTTTTTATTGCACGCCTTCGAAATCTAACAACTTGTGGAGTTATTGTTCCTGTCCACCGGAACCTCGCTTAACAAATTCGCTAAAGGCAGATTGCGAGGCCGATGCCATACAGCACTGAAGCTGTAAGGGAACAGACATTTGCATGAATAATATATTGATCAAACACCTTAGCCCTGTATTGTATATAATCTCATTCTTATTGTGAACAGGTAGAAACAAAGCGTGTCTACTCCATCGCCCTATTTTGCAACGTTTTACAAATCAGCGGAACGGACTGGTTGGTGTGAATCGGACTTATGGTCGATTCGATCCTTTCTATTCACCATGTGATGTACATGTGTTATCCGGATTCCATGTGCTCTTGTGTCAGGTCTCAGGTGTTCCATTATTTATATGCGCGGGGAAAGGAACTGTCCAAGCCAACTCGGAAGTCACGACTAAGAAGTCTATTGTTTAACCCCTACTATACTTGGTGTCGTTTTCGCTCCCCGACCATCAATCACATGTATTTAATTACCAGTGTCCGGTTTGGCTGACTGTATTGTGTCGAATTCCGACCGCATATGTCACTAGTGGTCACTGCGTGGTGCAGTTCATACCAGCGCATTATTCCAGACCAGATGCACTGACATAATGTTGGGCTGGAACTTCTTCGTCATCTACCGAATCTGTAGTTTCTACAGCCTTCAACCGTTGATAGTAAGGCAGTTCGATTCCACTTATACGACACATCAGTAACACGAATGGGTGACAGTCGGAAAAGCCGTCCAGTCTATCTGCTACGGTTGCAGGCAATGGATGCGCGCCGTGGGCACTGATTGTCCACAAAACGCAATCTGTGTTATAAATGGGGTAAATCTCGCAAGCCCCTTCGTTTCCTTCTTTCCGGTTTCACTTACTCTGCTTTGTTGGTACCCTTTGTTCGCACTTTCCTCTCTCTTTTTCATGTTTGTAGTGAGTTTCCGTGGCATCTTCCACTTAGCTGAGTTTTGGGCTATGCACCGTGTGTTTGAACTTCGACACGCAATTTCGTTGTTTTCTGTGAACTGATCCCCGGTCATTACGATCAGCGTGACAACATTCGAAGTGAACGCGCGCTTCGTTCTTGTTCGCTCCAGACACAACTTTGAAATGCGCGCCATAGATGTACACACTTACCAGGGTGTTCGAGAGCAGACCAAAGAATTCTGTGGTTGGATGTGCTATACTTCTGTAACCGGCAATAGCCTGTGCTTCGTTGTGGCGCTACCGCATCCACATGTCTTACTCTCACAAGCTAGTTCCAGAAGAATTAATGTAAAACAAAGACCGCAAACACTAGTTTCTAGCGATCTAATAAACAATGTTTGCTCCTTCTTATCTCACGGAAAAAATAAGCAAATGGGCCTCAGTGGGAGAATGTGTTAACCGTATTATACACCACTAAAACGACCATCGCAGCCGACTCTACAAGACGGCTGGATGGTCAGGTGCACGAACAATCATGTATGGTACAATCATATCATATTGTTTCTATGGACACAAGAAAATCTGTGGAATTACGTTCTGCTTAATGCATGAGTAACTGTAACCTAATTAGTTCTAGGAGATGCAGAAAGCTTTTGAAATAGGTGTTGGCGCCGATGTGCACAGGGAGTTTAATTTCTGACCATACATTGTTATCTATCCGTCTACACACTTTTTAGTTAACGCTCTCGGTCAGTGGCTTTTTCTCCGTACTACTTAAGAAGCTTTCCCAGATAAAGGATAAGCTATTTGGACTGCAGCAACACAGTGTTTGAGGCATAGTTTAACAACAAATGGACCGGTAGAAAATGAAATTGCAAAGTTTTTCTGACAATCTAACTTAACCGGATTAAGGAGCATAACAAATATATGCAACTAGCTAGAGGTTGGAGTATTTGCAAGTTCATTCGTCACATCTGGACGCAGTCGTTCAGCTAGCACTAACCGCAAAAGAGGTAGACGGCCGTTACTTCCATATTTGAACTTAATATTGCCGCCTATTCTCCTCTAATCCGTTAGAATTCTGATCCGCAACATCTGTGCACTTTTGGGCCATCGCTGAGTGAGCTACAAACTGTGGTTCAAAATGTCCCATATTTCAAGTGTCTGCTCCAGATTTAAGAGGCGTTTCGTCAATTTTGAGAATGGAATTCAACCAACACATTTAGCTATGAGACTTTCTGTGGTCCAGTGCTAACACTTATCAACTATAAACTGGAGAGGGCGTCAGCAGTGTACCGGCACATCTTACCGTAGCTTCGCTGCTTCATGACCACCACCAGTCGCGGGTGCGCTGGGTATACCGCGAGATCGCTCACAGCTACGCGGGTTCGAACCGGTGACTTTCGGATTACAAGGCAGGCACGTAATCCGGCCACCTGTCGAATTCACAGAGGCTAACATGCGTGCGGTTCACGAATTCGCACCCATGCATTCTCTCAAAATAACGGTAAGAAGCGGGACGTGAAATGGGGCGCGTTTTAGATTGCAACTCCTATTTCCAACTCGTGCGCGGAACAGCTTCCGCATTCAAACGGTTGGACTTCATGTAAGCAGTATTTTTTGATCGGCCAAACAGGTGGCGTTTCTGATGTTCCTGGTGTTTTCCTGTGGCATTTACGGTTGATTTCGATCAACAATTACTGTTAATATACACATAACCATCTAAATCATCACCTGCTACCAACGGATAATGCCCGTTAAACTTATTAGTGATTTGAATTGGTGTTATATTTCCAACCAAGTAGAGGGAAAACACAAAATCGCTAACCACAGACCAATCAGATTACGTTCGCAAAGAAGGTTTGCATTGGTTTACACACCATGCTTTCGTTGCTGTGAACACATAGAAACGCACGGCAAATGGGATAATTCGAGGAATAAAATGCATAAAAGGATTTCTAACGATGACGAATACTTGCGATTTCTACACATATTAACCTTATGTTCTTAAACCTAATTAAGGTGCATAGATCGGAAGTGTTTTCGAATCTCATGCCGGATGCGGAAATGGCATTGTTGACTACGAGTCAGCAATACTTCCGAAGACGTCCTAACCGATTCGAAAGCCATTAACTCACATCATAGCAGCGGCGATTAAAAGAAATTAGATTCCCGAACAGCAAACTATGACTTTATACTGGTTAAGAAACACTGCTTTACAAGCTTCGTTGAGTGGTTTGGTGAGGCTGTCGAAAAACATTGAAAAATAGTATTTCGTTTGTCAAAGGAACGCGCTTATCGTTTGTAATGAAGTAGTCCTACACTCGGTGTAGTTTCACATTTTCGATAGACGATAAATCCAAGGTATTTTTCAGGAGTAAGAGAGAGATATCGCAAAACAACAATATGTAGGTGCTGAGTGCCTTACCCAACCGACTTTTAAGTATGACTATAGTAGGTACAGAAAGGACTGATTCGGAGAGTGCCTTCCACTGAAGACATACACGAATAGAAAAGAAATTGCTACGGCACTCCAGGAGGCTGCACACTTTGGCTAGTTTCAAGGAGTTACAAGTTTGTGTTTCTACTGAGTTGGACAATGAACGATGATTTATAATGGGTGAAAAGGCGATTACTTGACAAAGCCCACAGGATGGCCGGAGTGAAGAGTATAGAGCCAACGTTAAAAACTGACATGTAGAAGGACAGAATTCGGCTTTTAACTGACTCACCAAACCGCTCATATGAACGCTGGTGTATGTTTTCGCACCGCTACGTTATTTCGTTCCCCGAGTGAAGCGATCTAAATCACATGAAATTTGATGATGTGTCGTCAAGGCGTTCTTTGAGTTGCGTTAGTGTTGGGGTAGAAAGAATGTGAGTTGGGTGCTTCATGTTCGGCACACCCGAATGGAGAAAATGATTTGACAACCGTCAGTTTGACCGCAGTGGGTAGTAAGTTTGAGCTGGTGGTCTCTCGTGTTAGTGTTGTTGCTGAGCTGTTGCAGGTCGCGTTAGGCGTTATTTAGGTTTGTCAGTATTTAGACCAATATGAGATTCCTTCGCTTGCGCTGATATCCACCGTCGTATAGTCCAAAGGCTTTTAGTCTTCACTGGTAGGAGAGTCGACAATCCCCTGACGAATTTGGTCACTCTAGGTTGCGGAGCTTCGGGTGCAACAATATCGTGTTTGTGCCAGAGACTCCAGGCTTGAATCGCGTACTTCACGTGAATCATCATACAGGCGTTCAGCATTTGCAGTGAGCTAGGTGGCTGGAACTTTCCGAAAGCTTTCCGCAAGATTTCCGGTTGATGACTGACTCTTCTCGACATGTTTTCAGTCTCTTTCGAGTAGCCAATGTCACCCTGCACAGTTACTCCGAGGTCGCTTTCCTAAGAAGTACGTTGTAAATACTGGTCTCCAAGTAGATATTATTGAGTAAGCTGATGGCCTATGCTCACAACTTTTACATTTCGCCAGCTTGAACTGGAGTCGGTTCACGGATGACCACGTATAAGCCCTATCGAGGTCTCCCTGTAGTGCTGTGTGATCTTCCACCGTCTTGATGTCATGCCAAATCTTGATATCACCTGAAAATAGAAGGGTCCAACTGAAGAGGGCCGGTAAGGTCGTTGATGAAGACTAGGAATAAATGTACTCCCAGTACCGATTCCTGGGGCACGTCACACTGGACTTCATTTGGGTCGGAAATGGAGCTTCGGACTCTCACATTCCGCTGACTTTGAACGAGGAAATTGCTTATCCGACCGAGCACTAGATCACTGATTCTACAGGTTCGAAGTTTGTGATAAAGGTGGGGTGGTCCAGGCGATCGAAAACTTTTGATAAGTTCAAATAGATAACGTCAACTTCCACTCTGGTAAGAAACAGTGGCACACATAATTCGGATTATGTGCAATCAATTATACCGTCCTCAGACCACCTGGTAATCGGCGATACCGTCCACCCCATTGCGACGAGACTGGACCTTAAGGTGGTGCGATGGTTTGTGTGTCTCAGTGATCCGTTGAGCTATGTTGGGTGATGCTTTTTTGCACCTTCAGAGCCACTCATACCAGATTGGCCAATGGTTAGAGGCCAGACAAACTCAGTCTTCTGGCCCTCCAGTTTGGGATTTGTAGTGAGGGTGGCTCCTTACCCCATTAAACGGGCTCTCTGTAATCCAGTGCCAAAACCCTCCTGCCTTGCGGTAAGGCTTTTTTAAACCAAAGGCTTTGGTTGAGAACCCTAATGGTTCTCCTGTCTAGGCTTGGGCAACTGGCAGTATTCTGCCCATGTAATACACCATGACCTTTCCTTCTAACAATCTTTTGATGTTCTGGCCATTGCATAGGATAATAAACGGCTCCATATCGGCTGCATCGAGGAGGGTGGATAGGGGTTTGGATGCTACTGCTCAAGCCTTCCCGTCTTCCGATCCCCCTTCTTACACCTTTTCATCCTTAGCGTCCCGTTCTAACTTTACTTTTATCTCCTCATTTTCAACCTCCCAATTCTTGGTCCTCTCCCACCTTGCTTCAATAGTCGCTTGCCTTTTAGTTTCAACTCACATGCAATCGCAGGGCGTCGCTCCAGTCCAGTCGACAAGTTCATGTTCAACCAAATGGATAAGGTCAGTCGATCCGTTTCTCTTTGGAGTCCTCGCGTCTCCCTAAGACTGGCATACCCCAACGTGCGCACTTTGCTACAGATTGGCCAACAGGTAGCACTTGCCCGAACACTAGAGACCCTATCGATCGATATCTGCTGCTTATCGGAGACCCGCCTGCAAGCTTCGAGCTCCGTGCTTTTCCTGCGACCACCCACATGCGACACCAGCACTACATTTTCATTGCGCCTGTCTGGCGATGATGCAGCTTCAAATGCCGGTCAAGCTGGCGTCGGCATTGTTTTGAGTCCCCGGGCTGAAGCTGCCCTGATTGACTGGATCCCAGTCAACAGTCAGATGTGCGCCGTTAGATTAGCTGGTTCGTTACATGCTGCGAAGTCGCTCGGGAACGAACGGTGCCTGTTTGTCATTGCGGCCTACGCCCCTAAAACTGTAGCACTGATTCGGTGAAAGATGATTTCTATCAACCACTCCACGATCTTCTTCGTTACAGAAGAAGCACGGATACTGTGGTGTTGACTGGCGATCTAAACGCCCAAGTCGGAAAATTGTCCTCTGATGAGCTTCATCTGGGCGGCCAACGTGGTGTAGGCTCCCGGAATGATAATGGTGAGCGATTGCTGCAGCTGTGTGAAGATGCTCGTCTCTTTCTCGCGAGCACAAACTTGCGACACAGCACCCCGCAGAAAGGTGACTTGGCGCCCACCAGTTTCGGGTCAGCCATGGACGCAAACCGATCATATCGCGATCAGTTATCGCTGGAGAGGCTGTGTCCAAAACTGTCGCTCGATTTGGAGCACCAGCGTGGACTTCGATCATGCTATCGTGTGTGCTGACCTGCGGGTGCTTTTCCACGGACGTCAGCAATGTCACTGAGCGCATTGACACCAGCCAGCTGGCGAAGCTAAATGTTCTGAATGCGTATCAAACTATGCGGGCATCTGGGCTGAGTAAGCGTCCACTGAACACCGTCGAAGATCACTGGTCGCATATTCGTCAAACGTTACTATCTGCAGGCATGTCTTTATGTGGCAACTCAAATTGCCAAACTGGACATTTGGTCTCTACAAAGTCTGGAACTTATGGATGCTCTCCGACGTATTCCGGCTGGAAGCGAATGCAATGAGACTCGCAAAAATCTCAGGGCAAAATTGCGTGCTAGCCTGAAGAAAGACCGCGAAGCCTGGTGGTCTCATCTTACGTCGGAGACGGAAACAGCGGCTACCGTTGGTAATCATCGTGTTATTCCATCTGATACGGGAAACAGGCAGCAGGAGACCTGGTGTTGCGAGACCATATGCGGCGAGAGTGGGCATCCGATCCACAGTCTGTCAAAACGCTTAGAGCGTTGGGCCGAACATTTTGCAGGGGAATTTAACCAAACTGAGTTATCGCTTTTTTCTTCGGGCATTGAGCGCCTTTCTCCCTGGGCCGTCTCCTTGGATCCGCGCTCACGCGCAGAAGTCGAACGTGAGATCAAGCTCTTGAAATTGCATAAGGCCGTAGGCTCAGATAGAATTCCCCCAGTCCTCTTCAAATTCGGGGGACCTGCTCTAGTTGATCATTTACACGAATTGCCAATGAAACTTTGGAAGCACGAGACTGTCCTGACAGACTGGAGCCGCTCCGTCATTGTCCTAATTTTCAAGGGAGGCTCCCGTTCGGAATACGGCAATCATAGAGGAATCAGTCTGATCTCAGTTGCTTCCAAATTGCTTACCTTTGTCATTCTCCACTGACTGACTGGCACTTATGAAACTCAGGTTAGTAAGGAGCAAGCCGGGTTTCGTTGAAGTCGGAGCTACATCAACCACAACTTCACTTTGTGTCAATTATCGGAGTACCGCCATGTTTATTAGCGATCCACTGTTGTCGTGTTTCTCGACATAAATGGTGGCTTCGATTCAGTCGATCGATGCGCACTTTGGGACTGTCTGCTGAGGAACAGTGTGCCTGATAAATACGTAAACATTATCAAAACGCTGTAGGCGCATATTTCGGGCAGTGTGAGGGTTTATGGCAAACTGTCGCTACCCTTCAATAGCACCAGCGGTGTGAGAAAAGGTTGCCCGCTGTCACCTTTCCTATTTAACTTCACAGTTAACGAAGTCATGGAATCAGCATTCGCTGGACACGACCTAGAAGGTGTGGAGCTAGTTCCTGGTGAGCGACTTCTTGACTTGGAGTATGCGGACGATAGTTCCCTAATCTGTGGCAGCTCCCAAACATGCCAAGCAGCACTGGACCGATTAGCACTGGCTGTCCATCTCTTTGGGCTATGCTTTGCTTCATTGAAATGCAAAGTTCTTTAAGATCGGCAGGGACCCGCCCATGCGCTAACTCTTTGTGGTGATCAGCTAGAAGTCGTTCAGAAATTCAAATACCTGGGTAGCTATTTTAACGCCCGTGGGATCGACGCTGAGGTTACGAACCGTATAGCAAAAGCTCGAGGTGCTTTCGCCAATCTCCGCCACTTGTGGCGCAGACGCGACATTACTCTCTCCCTAAAGAGCAGAGTTTATAACGCAGTCGTCTGTTCAACTCTCCTGTATGGTTGTGAAATTTGGGCCATCAGGTCGACAGACATAAAGAGGCTCGTTACATTCGATCTTCGCTGTCTTCGCAGCTTAGATCATGTCTGGTAGGAGCACCGCGTGAGCAATGAGTGTTCGGCGTCGCGTATTTGGTGCAGGAAGAGCGAGTGAACCGCTCAGCATCATTATATCACGCACCAGGTTCCGATGGATGGGCCACGTGTTGCGCATGCCAGCACAGCGACTCCCGCAACGTGCATTGTTTGCGCGTCGGGGGTGCGGTTGGAAGAGGAAGGGAGAGGCCAAGTGATGACTTGGTCGAGAGAAATGAAAACCCTCACTTTGAAGTTGGCGTCGGTTGGTGCATGCCGACTGTCGGACTGGGCTCCTAAGGACGATGAACACGTTTGGTTGGACACAATTGTTGATATGGCTAGGAGCGGGGCACATCGAAGCCCGGTGCAGAACTCGGCAAGATGTAACTCACTAATAGAAAACTGCGCTGAGACCGATGCCTTTTGTGTATGGTGGCACAGAGTCTTGATGTTCGAAGTCACCAGCAACAAAAGCGACGTGGAAAAAGTCAATGAAACAGCGAATGTTTTACATGGAAGCAGGTCTGTTATTTGAAGCATTTTCCTGCAAAGAATCTTTGTGTGATCCATACCATCCAACCATCACCTAGCTCCAACACGAAAATGACTGAGTGTCATCGATCCGGAGATGTCTATCCATGCTCAGATACGAACGAAATTGATCAACCGGCACATTGTATATCGGGTTATTAGTCAGTTGAACAGACGACAGATTACTTACAGCATAATCATGACAAAGAGCAGGGAAACATCACAAACAGGGTCTTGGTCATCCTGGCAAGATGTCAACAATTTACTGAGACAGAGTTCATGCTTGGAGGAACCTCCAACCGGATATACTATGCCTGTGCGTTTAGACACGCTGCACTGAGTCAACAACGCGGTTGGACTCGACTTCCAGACCGTTTTAGGACACGACAACTGACGTCAGTTTGATTTCACGAGAAAGTGCACTTGTCGCAGCAGACACACAGCCTTCCACACGGACTGGTGTTCGCCGGAACTCTCGGAACGAATTACACTACTGACCTGTCGGACGCCCTCGACGACCCTGTGAGCGCAGAGATACTGGTCAACTGGCGAAGCCAAATGTTCTGAATGCGTATCGAAGTTCGCTGGCATGCGGATTGAGCAAGCACTCACTGAATCCACTTGGTCACTGGCCGCATGTTCGCCAGACCTTACTAACAGCAGGTAAATCCTCATTTGATAAATTCAATAGCCAACATGGACACTGGGTATCTTCGCAGTCTCTGAAACTTATCGAGGATGACCGGCATATTCCGGCTGTAAGCCAACACGAGACTCGCAAAAACCTCAGGGTAAAACCGTATTAGCCTGAAGAGAGACCGCGAATTCTGTTGGTCTCATCGTGAGTCAAAGATGAAAGTGGCCCCTGCCCTTGGTAACCATGGGAAGCTATTCCGTCTGATACGGGAAACGGGCGACAGGAGACCTGGTGTTAGTGCAGCCTTCTGTGACGAGAGTGCAAAGCCTATCCACCACTTGTCAAAACGCTTGGTGCGTTGGGCTGAGCATTTTGTAAGGCAATCTAATTGGCCGGAATTTTTAGATTCCTCATCGGCCAGTGAACGCCCTGCTCCCTGGGCTGTTCCTTGGATTCACCCTCTCGCCCAAAAGTCGAAAGTGAGATTGGGCTGCTGAAGTTGGACAAGGCAGCGGGACCAGATGATCTTTATCCAGACCTCTTCAAATTCAAGGCCTTGCTTTTGTTGTTGATTTACACGAGTTACTATTTAAGCTGGGACCAGGAAACTGTCCTAACTGACTGTCATAGTCCAAAACTTAAAGGGAGGCTCCCGTTCAGATTTCGGCAACCATAGGGGAATCAGTCTGATCTCCATCGCCTCAAAGTTTCTTGCTTGTGTCGTTCTCCACAGGGTGACTGGCACCCGCGAGAGCCGGATCCGTCAAAAGGAAGCCGGGTTTCATCGAGGTCGAGGCTACATCGATCACATTTACAATTTGCGTCAAATGTTGGAGCACCGTTGATATGTATTGCCCAAGTATTCCTATTTCGTCTTAGGACACGTAGTCCCGAACTCGGAGGGAGAACGCACAAACCGGATGGCACACGTGCTATTGTCTTAGCGGCACTTACATCGAATGCGGAAAGCATAAACGGTAAAATGAACCAATCAGAACAAGAATAAAAGGCCAGTTGTTATCGACCAATTTGAAAATGTTCGACCGATCATGTGGGTGTGTGGTGTGTATGTGGTGTTAACTCGTGCAGCCATAACATTCCCCCACGTACAGATGAAATCACATTTGTGAAACGTAACGTTCTATCGGTTTGGGTTAACGCCGTGGTTTCCGGATAGCGATCGGCTGATCAGTTTCATCCTTTGGGGTTTTATCTGTTTCCTCACGCTCTTCTGTAACTATTCCCTTCTCTTCAGGGCATGGTGCGACCGAAGTGCGGGGATGGATGAAATCATTTAGCCTACGTACTGTTTCTCCACTTTCCAGTTGTATGTCAGCCTCAGTTTCTGAACATGTAAGCAGGGTTCCTAGCTGCCATACCTACGCGTGCGGGAGTTTTGTGTACACATCTCATTTTGCCACCAAATCCTGGGGTTTAGCTGGTGGGCGCTCCCTCTCATGCATGCGCAGTTGCTGGTAACGTTTGGCCTGACGGGGATCTAGGAAATGTACATCTGGTCTCTACGTAACCGACGCCCCAACATAGCGTCCCCCATGCTTTTTCCGATGGACTCCAGTGGTGTGCTGCGTTACGCGAATTGGAATAGGTCAAGTTTAGTGCGCAAAGAGCGATGACATTGCTTCAGGAGACCGGCTTTGTATCGTTCTTTCCCCTAAATGGTCTGTCGCTGGGTGGTGTGGTGCGGAAGGCATGTGGTGGAGATCATTGTCTTGCAAGTATTGTTTGAAGGGTGCACTGGTGAACTACGGGCCGTTAGCTGTGACCAATATTTTCGGTATACCGTGCATGGATAGACTACCATGATTGTAGTTTCCGTAGTAGCGTTAGCGACGACATGTACATCTATCCACTTAGAGTACGCGTCCACCAGAAGTAACAACATGTTCCCTTTAATCGGACCGAAATAGTCAGCGTAGACACGTACCCATGGACTGTCGGGCAGCTCTCAAGGGTGAATGAGACCGGTTGGTTTGTCTTTTTGATACTTCTTGTATGTAGCGCAAGTATTCAGTAGCGCTTTGATATCTCTATCGATCGCTGGCCACTAGCAGTATGACCTGGCCAGAGCTTTCAGGCGGACGATCCCTGGATGAGCATCGTGTAACACCCTCAGTACAGCTGATCTGAGTCCCGATGAAATAACGATATGAGATCCCCGCAAGATACATCCTTGGTGTGGGTTCAGCTGAATTGACAATTGAAAAACGGACGCAGATCGTCAGAGGATCGCGTCCCCCAACCCCGAAGCATCATACGTTTCACTTTCGATAGCACCAGATCGCTATCGGTACTTTTAGTAACCATACCACTGGATACTGGTGCAGTGTCTAAGTGTTATAACAGTCGAACAAACTAGTATGGCGCTCCACTTTGTTCATCTTGTTGAACAACCTGTGCTAATCCAATGAGAGAGTCAGCAACACTTTTGTGAGAACCAGCGACGTAGCGGATTCGATATTTGTAGGCCGAAAGTAGAAGTGCCCAGCGTACCATTTAAGGTGCGTTTAGTTGCTCCATGCCACGTCCCTCACCGAAAGTAAGATCAACGGTTTATGAGCGGTCTGCATCTCAAACCGATCGCTACACAAATATTGATAGAAGCGCTTGACCCCGAAAACTACTGTCAGTGCCTCCTTGTCCAGTTGTGCGCAATTCTTCTCATCAACCTGTAACGTGCGAGACGCGAAAGCAATAGGACGAATGGTTCCGTCGTGAATCTTACGCTCTAGGAGTGCTTCCACGCCAACAAAGTGAGGCATCACACTGTAAGATGATAGGATTGCTTGCATCGCAATGTACACTGGTGATAAAGTAAGTAGTCACTTTCTCTAATTCTTCTTCCTCCTTCTGTCCCCACCAATTGGAGATTTTCTCCTACAAGTCCTGAAGAGGTGCTATACTGGAAGCAAGGTTGGGTAGGAGCCAATCATAATACGAGAACATTCCAACGAACGAACGTAGCTGTGCTTCGTTACGTGGAGGGGGTGCAGAAATAATGGGCTGCAATTTGTCTTTTCGTGCACGTGAACCGCGTTTATCCAACCGATAATCAAGATAGTCAACGGAATTAACCATAACAGCACATTTAGAGCGTTCCAAACGTAAACCGTGTTCAGATAGTCTACGTGACACCAGATCCAACGTACGCAGGTGCTCATCTTTTGTGCGACCCATAATTAGCAGATCATCGAGGTGTGCATATGTGTTTGGTATATCACGTACGATGTTGTCAAATTTTATTTGGAATATAGTCGGTGCTAAATTACTCTCAAAAGCAAGCCTGGTGTATTCAAATAGACTTAAATGTGTACTGGCCGTAGTATGATGGCGACAGACTTCATCTAATTCCACCTGGAAGTAAGCATGGCTCAAATACATTTTGGTAACCTTGACCGCGCAAGATAAAGTGGCGCACAAATCCTCGATTTCCGGTAGTGGATAACGCTCTATGATTGCACTGCGATTTATGGTTAGTTTCTACTCGTCACAAATCCCTGCGCTGCCGTCGGGTTTAAGCACAGGGACTATTGGTACCGCCCATTCAGCTTGTTGAACCGGTACAATTATACCTTCTCGCTGAAGTCTTCTTAACTATTCTCCCACCTTGGGTCGTAAGAAGTAAAGCAGAGCTCTGGCCTTAAATAAGTTAGGTGTAAAGATTCCGCTATATGAACCTTCGCTTTAAAATTCTTCAGTTATCCTAACTGGTGTTCGTTGGACACGTCTGGATATCGCTTAAGAACCGAGTCCACGGGGTCCTCCCCCACGGCACGGATGGTATCTAATATTTGTGGCAACTGTTTCATACAGTTGCGACCCAGTAGATTGACTGGAGCATGTGGCACAACATGAAGTACTAGGTTGTGTGTTTTACACCGGTGTTTAACACGTACCTGACACTTTTCACTTCTCCTGTATAGGTTTTGAAAACGGTATCACTCGGTTCCAGAATAGGCAATCATCAGCGCGCGTTTCTGCTAATCAATGTCACAGCGGAACCGGTGTCCAATTCAAATAAAACTGGTTCACCATTAACATGAATCCTAACCTTATAGAGATACTCTCATCATATTGGAGCAATTTGCAAGTATATGGTTTATAAAAGTTAACTGGGAGTCAGAGCACTCACCGTCGTCCTGGTTCAACGATTTAATCAAAGCTTATGATAATGGAGAACGATATACACGTGCCAGATGGCCAGTCTTACCGCAATTCCTGGCCTTTGTGCAAATGTGAGGGCACTGGGTGGGGGAAGTGTGCTCGTCACTGCATCGGTAGCAGACGAACTTTCATAACGTGTTTTCGGAGAAAAAACACGGAGCCAGCTTGTTTACACACTATGTAGGCTGAAAAGGGTTGAATGTGGATAACTGAGTTTTCAGATTTTCTCCTTTCCGTATGTGATTGCAAGCGGTTTCCCATGAAAGTGTTTCCTCTTCTTGCGATAGTAAAATTTCTCTCGCACCATCATCTATAACTCCACCGATAAGGCACTGAATTCTCGTGACTTCTTCGACATGCATTGAGGAAATTGTACTGTATCGGCATTATGATGTTGCTTGGTGAATGCGCGCAATGAAGTCATTTACGCTTTCGCCGCGTAGCTGTTGTAATCCAAAAAACTGGTAACGAGCAGAAAATACACTGCTGAATTCCCCATAGTTCCTCGAAACACTGAATCATGTGCACTATACTTTTTTTAGCTATTTGGTTCATGACGTCAAAATGTCACTGTTTCTAAAAACAAAGTGCTTGGCGAAATATAATTACCCAGTGGGCATCCGACAACTCAATACATGGGTTTAACACAGGAAAGGCGTCATCTGATGTTAGAAAGACATTTTCCACTGCATACTTGATAGTAAGGAGGGTTTTTCTGAACCATCGGGCCGCAGAATTGCCAACCCGCCAGAATGTTCGTAATACACGTCGCCATCCTGATACGTATTTCCCAAATATTCCAGTTTCCTCGAAGTACACGTAGTCCCGAACACGAAGGGAGAAGGAACCAACCGGATGGCACAAGTAATATTGCCTTAATGGCACATACATCGAATGCGGAAAGCATGAACGGTAAAACGGGCCAATCAGAACAAGAATAGATGGTCAGATGTTATCGACCAATGTGAAAATGTTGTTCGATCGATCACGTGGGTGTGTGGTTTGAGTAATGTTAACCCGTGCAGTCATAACAACCTTCACATATACTAGCGGCCAATTGTTGTGTTCCTCAACATCAAGCGGCCTTCTATTCGGTTGAGTGATGAGCACTTTGGGACTGTCTACCCAGGGAAGGTGTGCCCGAGAAATATGTAAATATTATCCGAGCCCTTTACGCGCGTAGCTCGAACAGAGTGTGGACTTACGGCAAACTGCCTCGCCCTTCGATATCTCCAGCGGTGTAATACAAGGATGCTCGCTGTCACCTTTCAGCTTCAGCCTCACAGGACACAAATTAGGTGTGAATTTGCTCCCAGGTGAAAGGCTTCTTGACTTGGAGTATGCTGACGACAATGCCCTCATATGTGACAAGCGGCATTGGACAGATTAGCACTGGCTGTCAACGATTTCGAGTTGTGCTTTGTATTCTCGTGTTGCATATCTTTCCTCCAAGCTTACCAGGGACCGCCTCCTGTGCTGACCCATGGTGGGGATCAACAAGAAGTGGCTCAAAAATTCAACTATCTAAGCAGTTGTGTCAGCGCTATTGGAATGGAAGATGAAGTCACAAACCGTATAGCAAAAGCACGAGGCGCTTTTGCTAACATTCGCCACCTATGGCGTCAGTGCGACATCACCCTCTTCCTGTAGGGTATAGTATACAATGCAGTCGTACGTTGGATCCTGCTGTACAGATGAGAAACTTGGCCTATTAAATCAGTGGACATAAAGAGGCTAGTTACGTTCGACCATCGGTGGCTTCGGAGTTTGGCTCACATTTGGTGGGAAGACCATGTGAGCATTGAGCGTGTTCGACGCCTTGTTTATGGCGCAGGAGGATTAAGTAAATCGCTCAGCACCGTACTTTTACGTACCAGGCTCCGATGACGGCCACGTGTTAGGCATACCAGCCTACCGATTCTCACGACGTACGTTATTTGCGTGCCGGGGTTGTGAAGGGAAGAAGAAGAGAAGTGGCCAAGCGATTTAGTCGAGAGGAATGAAGGTGCTCACTTCGAAGCTGGCCTCGGTTGAAACGTCGGGTCTCCCTGGTTAGGGACCGAAGGAAGAGGAACATTTTTGGTTGGACACACTTGTTAACATGACTTGGTGCCAACCTCAGTGGCGTTTGTTTTGTGCGTTGCTTTTGCCCTCCCGTTTAGCCTCCCCTCCAACCATGATCTCAATTATTAGGCCCAGTAACCGGTTGTTAGCTCTCCTGAAAAATGTCTGTCGGTTACTGGTGACTTGGCCGGTGTGCCTTTTGTTTTTATTTTCTCTGTTTTGAGGCACAATACCTGAGGTGTTTTCCATCTCTAGCTAACGTGTACACTGAATGGAGCAATGGCTTATAACTGGTATAAAAGCGAATGCTTGAGCCGTACCGTAGGATAGTGAGGGGAAAAATCGAAATAAAAAGCCGTGTCAGTAAAAGAACGTGTGAAATAGATGACTAACCAAGGGGTTTAGAGTAGCACAGGCTATATCACTTAATGTACATGTGTCAGAGTCTCGGCAATGCGTTTTTAAAAAAGGGATAATAAAGTAGGAGCAATAATTACATTTGTCAGCAGGGCGTTCCAAGGCTGGGACACTCGGAGGGAGAAGAAGCTTCATCGACCTTCCAGTCGGCTGTATTTCGTGGCCAGCTTAAATTGATGGCCCCTTAGTGATGTGTTCTGTCTGAGTTTCACAAAAGAATGGCATGTGTGGTTGCGGCTTCTCAGGATCTGATACACCAGTATGAGATCGCCTCTTAGCCACCAGTAACGTCTGCTGCATATTTTGTGGGTCTTCAGCCTGAGTGTGTAGGGAAGGCGGGAGAAACCTCTGTTCTTTGTCACCCTGCGTTGTGCGGTATCAAGCGCGGTGAAGTGGTGCTTCTGCCAAGGTTGCCACGCTTGAATAGTGTATTCCGCGTGCGGCCTCAGGTACGCGCCAAGCATCTTCGGAAAGATTTAGGCGTCAAACTTCCCGAACGCTCTACGAAGAAGGCCGAAGTATTGGTTTGCTTTCTTTGAGGCCTTTTCAGTTTGGCTTGAACATTCATGGTCCACTTGCACAAGAACGCCGAGATCGTAGTCATGAGAAGCTCGCTGTAGAAGTTCTGGTCCTAGTCGGTAGTTGTGAGTACTCTGATGGTGTATGCTGAGAATTTTGCACTTGGTGGTGTTGAAATGCAGCATTTCCTCGATGGACCATGTGTACGCTTTGTCCAGGTAATCCCGTAGGGTGTTGTGATCCTCCATTGAGGCGATAGCAAGCCATATCTTCAGATCACCTGCAAATAGCCGATAGTTTGAAGACAACACAGTGGCAAGATCATTTATGAAAACCAGGAACAGGCGTGGCCCGAGTGCCGAGCCCTGAGGTACGCTGCACTGAGCTTTGGTTGGTTCCGACATGGTGCTGCGTGCTCTCACATTCAGGCAGCGTTAAACGAAAAAGTCGCCCAACCATCCTAGAACGGGATGTCCAATACCATAATTCTGGTTTTTGCAGTAGAACGCGATGATTCAGACGGTCGAATGCCTTTGAGAAGTCCAAGTAGACTGTGTCCATCCCAACATCGGTGTCCATAGATTCCGTCCAGCTTGCATGAGGTATCAACAGATAATTTAAGCAGGATCGGTTTTGACACAGTCTGTGCTGCTCCGGAACGAGAATCTTGTTAGTTTCCAGTTACTCCATGATCGCCTCAGCTACAATGGACTCCATGTTCTTGGAGATCACCGGAAGAAGTGTAATCGGACCATCATTCACTAGTTCTGCGCGGCTACCACATTTTTAGATTGGAGTGATCATCTCTTGCTTCCACATCTTGAGGGCGTGCATCTCATTAAGGCATCACTGAAAGTGTGTTACTTGCGGTTCAGCTAAGCTCATGGCGGCAACTTTCAATGCGTTCGGGCGAATGCCGTCCGCACCCAAGGAGCTGTGTTCGCGCAAGGGCATCAGCTGCTTCAATACAGCTGTGGTTGTGAAAGATATGTGCTTCAAACTTGATAGCGGTATGAGCTGCGTAGGCGTGGTGCAGGATGGTTGCGCACTGGAATGTACGGCCAAATTGTTCTCCAAGAATGTTGACCACCTCTTGTGCCGTTTGTGCTAACCCACATGCTGTGTGCAGAGCCGGAATTCCGCAATTAATGCGGTGAGGTTTGTTTATGTGTCAGTATAGCAGCTTTAGGTTAGAGCAAAACTTTATCACAAGATTTCATTAATTCTTTACTTTATCCTCCCAGACGAGTTTCTCATAGTGGTTTCTTTGTGTTTTATAGACGCTCCAAGTATCCTCACTCGGAGGGGCTATGTGGGCGAGCCATGCCAATTCCCTCAATGCCATGCATTTCCGAGTCCTGCTGCTTAGGAACGACTTCCTCTTTTTGAGTCGATGTATTTTGGTTTCAGATGCGCTTACTACGAGTCTGTTGAATCCATTGACAAATTCGCCGCAGGCCACTTCAGAGGACCATTCAGTTAGGAAAGACCAGCTTGTCGCACTAATGAGTTCGGGCAGATTATCAAAGTTGGTTATGATGCAAGATTCCTCATTATTTTCTTTTGGATTCTATACGTAGCGCAAGTATTGGAACACTAATGTCGCGTGACAGCTGCGGCCCAAAGGAGTGCACTCCGTTAATGCATCGATCATGAGTTCCTCTCTGAAAAAGCCAGATCCAAAATGGCCGGTTCTTTTCCTGTCCTGAAGCGTCGGAGTAGTAAGCTGGTTGTACAGCGGGGAGTCAGCGATTGGCTCATGCAGATCCGCCTTGTATTAGTTACCCGCAGTCGCCAGGGTTTTTAGGCTGTGCAGATTGACGTCCCCAACCAAGAGAACGTCTCTATAAGGTCGTTTCAGTATATTCTTCATAGCGGAAGATAAAGTCTGATCCGTTTCTAAAGTGGACATTTGTGGGCGGTATACAATGCCCACCAGGCATCTATCGTCCTGCCTTAGGTGTAGGTAGCACCATAAGACGTCCACAGTTTGAGCCCCAGGGTCGTTCACGCGCAGAGAATTACACCGCCTCCTTTTTTTGAGCGGTCGTTGCGCAGGAGTGACATACCAGGTAGTGCGATCTCGGCGTCGGTAATCACATCGTTCAGCCATGTATCGGTTACCACGATGAGATCCCAACACAGTGAAGTTTGACGAGATCGAAGTTCTGTCAATTTACTGAGAAGCCCTTGGGCGTTTATATAAGAACAACTGACAGCAACGGATGCCAGAAACGTATTTGAACACACATAGGTTTCCTGAGAATTTAAGCCGACCCTTGTGGGGCCGGCTGTCAATCGTTTTTTGGATATTTCTTGCCAAAAACCCGGAGCGGTTTCGGTCTGTTGCATAGAGTACTCACTACCTGGTCCTACAGAAGCGATTTGCAACTGAGTATCTGTTCCTTCTCCTTCTACCGGCTGGGGAGTTTCACTGCGTTCCTGTTCGAAAATGCAGACAGCGGGGATCGCGACAACTTCTCGCTGGTTTTGTGTTCCCTCACCCAATAGTGGCCTGGCTTCGACCGCCTTCAGAGGTACCTGATGGCAGGTTAGTGCGTAACTCGTGCCGACTTCGGAGCACATTTTTAACCATTTGTTTGGAGTAGAGCATGACTTTCAACACCCTTGGACCACTTTCTTTATAGTTGGGTGATATTGGCAACCTTAACGTTGAGTTGGAAATCACGTCATGGAGAGAGCTTCATGGACGTACTGTCATTCTTCCAAGTCATGAGCTCGGGCCTGTGACTTGTCGGATGACTGGATTTCGGGGATATCATGGACAAATATCGTTCTTTCTTCTGTTTGCTTGCGGTATTATCCTGGGTTTTGTTTCTTTTACCAACGCTGACTCCAAAGGATGTCGGGAAATACACGAACGTCGCATGGCGTATCACGAAGGCGATCAGCTGACAAGAGGGCGTTCTCCGCTTTGTCACCCGACT